ACGTCGGTATAGTTGTGTGGTTGGCTGCCCGGAGAGACAGTTTTCCGGGTGTCCGTGTAGATCGCCTGGATAGTGAAGGAGGGATCACGCTAACTTCTGCCCCCGTGTCTACCAGGAACAAAGTGTCTGAAGTTTTATCCTTCACATAAAAGAGGCGACTTGTTTGCTTACCAGTAACAGCTGTCGCCATCACTGTCTGGCTGAGGCGTTTCCCTGAGCCTGGTTGGCTTCGCTAAAGCTGCACGGTTTTACACATTTGAGGGCATGACGTCCAAACTTCCAGTGATACCAACATATATTATTATTCCGAGAAGGTGTGTGAGAACGCTGTCGTGAGAAGGATCGTCGTCGTGACGGTGACCTTCTTTGTGAACTCTGTCTCCGGACCTGTCGACCAGACCTATTAGTTTCTAACTTGTCAATCCTTGCCTCTAAGTCTGCAATGGCAGCGAGTATCGGTGTGTCTACCGTGGGTGTGGCACTATCAGATGATATGTGACTTATGGTGTTATCAGATAAAACATCCGTAATACTATCTGCCATGTCACTTAGTTGGTCTAAGTCATAAGACTTTCCTGAGATGATTAAAATTTGCTGGACATTTCTTGGTAAACGTTGCAGCCACATCTGTTTCAGCACTACCTCGTCTACTTTATGGTGTCCGATTAACTGACGCATGTGCCTGAGCAGCTGGGATGGTTTACGTGGGCCTAGTTCACAACCTGTGAGTAGTTGTTGGATTCTTTTCTCATCGGACAAACTGGTGCGTTGTATGAGGAGGGCTTTAAGTTTATCAAATTGGTGTTCCGTCGGGGGATTTTCGATGAAATCACTGATTTCTGTCAATACTGACGTAGGGAGTTCTGCCAGCACTGCCCCATATTTGGCTATCTGGGACTTAATGCCCCGTGCGTCTAGTAACGGCTCAATTACCGCAAACCAAATCCTTGGTTCTGCGAAACCGTATGGAGGTAAACGGATATCCGTGATGGCATTTATTGTGGCATTTGTCTCGCTGTTAGCTGTCTGCCCGTTTCATGTACCAGACTGAGGTGACGACATGATAAATATGGGGGTATTATTGCAAAATAGGACACAAATATAAACCACACACAAAATCACAATAAATATATAAAACAGCAAAAATGAGAATATGAATATGCCAAAATAAACCGTGTTCTTATCGGGCTCACCAATTAATTTGTAGGGGACTTATGTTAGAGTTCACTAGTATTACAAAATATGAGAAATAAAATTCAAGTCAATGGAATGTTAAGTAACAGTATATTACCAAAAATGCAACGACACGTTATATCAACAAAAGGGTTACTTGGAAATAAAGTTAAAGTCCTCTGCTACAAATTATTTATATAACCCATGGAGACGTTAATTGTTTGGACGGAGTAGGTTGTAGCTGCTGTGTCCCGGTTGTAGAATTGTCTTCGGTTGAGCGTAGTGGACTTCTACAATAAATCCGAAAGATACAACACGGTGAGAGCTGAGCTAGTAAGCCGAAGAAACCAAGGAGAAGACGAAGTCTCCAACAGCAGAGTGTATTTTCCAATCGTACACGGAAGCCAAGTGTATTTCAACAAGAAGCGTTTTAAACAAAAGTTATGTACAATATGTCTAATTTCTACAAATAACCAAAAAGTGTACAATCACATTGTTACGCACTCCACAAAGATGACAACGGAAATTCACTCACCAAAGAAGTGGAGGAAAGGAAACACTGGGCTGAACACTTCAAAAGACTCCTAAATCGACCACCACCGACAACGCGCCCAACAATACCAACAACGGAGACACCAACCCCCCGACGAAATCAGAAGTCCTGAAGGCAATCAAGATGCTAAAAGCTAGAAAAGCATCAGGACCAGATGGAATCCCAGCAGAAGCGTTGAAAATGAACCCAGAGACGACAGCGGACTTGATGACGCCACTACTGGAGAAGGTGTGGAAAGAAGGCAAAGTACCTGAAGATTGGAAGAATGGATACTTATTCAAAATACCAAAGAAAGGAGACTTAAGTCAATGCAAGAACTGGCGCGGAATTATGCTCCTGTCCATCGCAAGCGAAATACTAAGTCACATCATCCTGGAGAGAATCAAACATGCCCTGGATGAAAAACTCCGACCGGAACAGGCTGGATTCCGGAGAAACATTCATGCATTGACCAGATCGCCACATTACGGATCATCATTGAACAAAGCCTGGAATGGCAGTCACCTCTCTATCTCAACTTCATCGACTTCGAAAAGGACTTTGACAGCGTCGATCGAGAGGTGATTTGGAAACTACTTCGCTACTACGGGGTGCCACCGACAATTATACATCTCATCCAACAGCTATACGACAATGCTGCATGCCAAGTAATCCACAACGGGAAACTTACGGAATCCTTGGAAGTGAGGACAGGAGTAAGACAAGGCTGCCTACTATCGCCAATGATTTTCCTGATTGCAGTAGACTGGATAATGCGACAGACAGTGGGCAATGAGGAAACAGGAATAAAATGGACTCACACAAAATACTTGGAGGATCTGGACTTCGCCGACGATATATGTCTGATTCCCCACAAACTGGAAGATATGCAAGTGAAAAGCCACAAGTTGGCAGAAGAAGCAACAAAGATAGGACTTCAGGTGAACATAGAGAAGACAGAGGTGATGAAGATTCCCGAGCAACACCATCAACAGCAACAACAGACAACAATCAGCATAAATGGGAGGAACGTGGAAGAAACAACCTCTTTTGCCTACCTGGGAAGCATCGTTTCAACTACAGGCGGAACTGATGAGGATATCAAAGCAAGGATCGGAAAAGCAAGACAAGCTTTCACTACTCTCAAGTCTGTGTGGAGGTCAACAACACTCAGCATCAAAAATAAGATCCGGATTTTCAACTCCAATGTGAAGTCAGTGCTACTATACGGATCGGAGACTTGGCGCGTCATAAAGACCATCTCAAACAAACTACAGACCTTCATTAACAGTTGTCTTCGCTCAATACTCAAGATCAGATGACAGGCCAGAAAAGATCAGCAACAGGGATCTCTGGGAGCGAACCAACTAGGAAACGATTGTGCAGCAAATATGCAGGAAGAAATGGAAGTGGATTGGCCATACTCTTAGAAAACCATCAAGTGACATCACTAGACAAGCCCTTGAGTGGAACCCGAACGGGAAGAGGCGAGTTGGTCGTACAAGGGTGACTTGGAGGAGGTCATGTGAAGAGATGAAAACGTGTGGGCAGACATGGAGCCAGGTGAAGACTCTAGCAGAGAACCGAACTCAATGGAGAAGCACGGCTGAAGGCCTATTTTCCTCTAGGAATTAAAGGATACAATAATAATAATAATCATACCTATTTTATTTTAAGAAGTTGAACGCATTACAACTGACCCTCGTTTATACACAGAACACACATTATTGTGTTGTTTCGGTCGAAGACCCTAACAAAAGATAATCCTCTAAACACCTGAGAAAAAAGGGAGAATATTTGGCCCGTGCTTTATCTGTCAAAAATAAGATGATGGTGCACAAATCGCCTGCACATATTTCCAGCTGAAGGATACAGAGTGAAATGTGTTGACCGCTCCAGTTATATGAGAACTTCTATCAATCCTAATGGACTATAGGCTGACGAAATCTTAACGCGTATACAAAAGACTTGGTTGTCATCCGTCACTCTGACCTATCTTTGGCATATTATGCGGCTACCTATCTTAGGGTGTGTCGGTCGGTCGGTTTTCGACATAGAACTTTGCACATATGTGCGGCAGTTCAAGTCGCCACACTCCCTCCATGTAGCACACAAAGGAATAGAAGAAAGTAGGAGAAATGCATAATATAGACAGTAAACAGAGGTGTGAGACAAAGAAATAGTAATAACGAAGAACAAAACAGTTTCATTGGGTGTGTACAGCACGATTGTGGCCGCTTAACGAAAAATACAAGGAATAATACGGTTTTGATTATGAATATCTTCACTCATTTGTTTTCTATATACCTAATGATTATTTATTATAATTATGTTATTCCTTTACGTTCCCAGTGGAACATAGGGCTTCAAGCTAGAGGCTTGAAGTTTTGGTAGCAGTGGTGTTTATTTTTACGGGGTGGGGTTGCTAGCCTTATGCCCAACCTTACCTCTTTACCACCCTTATTACTGCCTCAGTGATGTAAAGGAGTGTGTCGGCCGGGGATCGAACCCGGAACCACATGCGTGGTCGGCGAGCATTCTACCGTTGTGCCATCGACGCACAGCGATATGACGAATATAAATGCAGTAAGGTGTTGAGTGCAAATAAGGAGCGAAAGTTCATCGATGAGGTTGTGAAGCCTCATCAACTTAGATAACTAGATCATGTGTTACACAAGCCATGCCATAAATATGATACGAGTAACATATATGATAGATAAATATCATTTGAAAAGTGATTTCATTTACATACGCAAAAACAGAATAAACATCACAACAACAGATTCGGACCAATATTTGTAAGCCCACGGTGTGGGTAAATATATGTCGAAAATCGAAGATATTTCAATCATGATTTACATCACCTAATTAATTGTGTCTGTTGTTTTCAGTCATATAAATTTCTTGCTTAAATCCAAAAGATAACCGAAATCGGTAGTGAGCGTCCATAGGATTTATTGTTCAAATAAATTATTGATTATTTAAGACCTGTGTCATATTTTTCATACTTTTTATTTTCATTCTAAGGTCTACTACAACTTTTTATACTGATAATTTTATTTACTTTGCTCTTTTCTGGCTAACTTCTATCTTGATGTGAAAAACGGGATGACAAACCAATAAGAGATTAGGTTACGTCCAGTATCAACTTCGTTCTAACTTGCTTAATTTTTCCAAAAAACACAAGCGCCAGTTTTATTTTTACATTATTTTATTTTGTAAACAATTAAGATTTGCGAACAGACTCTTTTATAGAAAAAATAAACAACAATTCTACCTAAATATATCAACCTACGTGGACATCTAATCCTGTCGTCAAATAAATATTCTTGACGTTTGACTCTGAACCGACCACAACTTCACAAAAGTGCGAAAAGTTTTCAATCTTGCATGAATTTCATGAAATTAGGAATCATATGTACTTGAAAACTATTTCTGATGTATGGGTCTTCAACCCAAATTTCGCTAACCGAACCATCTTCAAGAAATCTTCCGAAAATCCTTTTGTAGCCATAACCGGTAGCACCTTCTTCTATTGTAATCTGCTCATGATACTTTCCAGCTATTAGGGTTTGAGCAAGATGTTAAATTTAACAAACTTGCCGTCTCGCTTCTAATTTTATCTTTCAACTTTTCTGCATGTGACATATATTCAGATATTTTCTGTTTAAGTCTTTCCTTGAATTGCAACTCTAAACACCATTAAACACGTATAAAAGAATTACGCGTGTTTCCAGATAGGGATCGAAGGGCTTTGATAAACAAGCCAATACTTTCTTGGTAGCACACAAAACTTTCTGTTAGCTTTAACTGTTTTTCAAGTTCTATAGCCCGCAACATAACAGTTGAGCCTGCCTCTATGAGTGGGTGTGTAGCCATCTAAAATATTCAAAAAAAGGTTTTGAGAGTATTTACCAGTAATCTCACTGAATACAGAGAATACTTCACATCATGCCGAGCATATTATTAACTGATAGAATTAAACAAATCCAATTATATTCGAAAGTCAATGTAAGCTGCATACTCATGTCAAGGATATTAACGTTAGCTTGACTATTTGAACAGGAACTTAATGGATATCATTATATACGCACGCAAGATTTTACACATATTTCTCAAATTCTCAGGTCATGGGTATAATTACTGTTTGTCTGCAAGGACAACTGATGTTAAATGTCATTCCGCATACTTTAAACTAATCTCTACTTTATGTCATATACACTAGTTGACAAGGTGTGCAGTATATGAAGGACAATTATTTTAAGCTAATATTTACCGGTACATTGTGACTCATGGAGTATAACAAATCATGGAACTTAAGAGCTTGAGATGACAGCAAATACAGTTGACGATAAAAAACTGTTGACTATCATATTTTAACTTACTTTTGCCAACTCCATAAGGTATTTAAAGGTAACATTCTTACTAACGCAACACTTTTGTTTACGCAGCTTAAATATCCCAATTGACTCATATGAAAAAGAGGCGTTAAGAGAAAAGACTTTTCGGCGAATTCACCCAAATAGCTGTACAATCGCATTTATACAATTATTTTGTGTTTGTGTGTGTACACGAGGTTTGTCAAGATTAGGTTATTAATCAGGTAATACAAGAATGATCAAATATAGAAACAAGATTGATTAGACAACAACTAAAGTAAGAGTGAGTTATTGAGTTAGATGACGTAATATAATTGACTAAAATGTTTCAATTTAGGTCAGGATAGCAACAGAGGTAATTACAGGTAGAGACTAAGTAGAGGTGGGGTAGGGAATAATGCCATTTAAATTAGAACTAAAATCGAGCAAATAAATTGGATGACGTAGCATAAATGACAAGAAATTGAGCGTTGGTCAAGTCAGTAACAGTGGTAATGAGGTGTAGAAATTAAATCGGGTTGAGGTAGAGAACAGGAAGGTTGAAAATGTTACAATTGAAAAGACAAAATAATACTAATGAACAGACAGAAGAAAAAAAGTAGAATTTACCTGCCAGGTATTAAGATAGATTACGTTCATTGCAAGTGTAGTGATTGAACGAACTTCTTCTGTATGCAGAGTTCAGGACTTAGCAAGTGAATCGCCATCGCTTCTGCAGTTTGAAAAAGTCTGATTCGTACACTTCTAGGAAGACTGCTTCGTATTCTGTAGACGACGTTGAATTTTGTTTGGGATGTAGCTTGGTGTCCGGAATCTATCAGATGTTCTAAGATAGAGCTGCGGGGGCATCGTTTTTCTCCTTTGTAAAACCATGCTGGTAAGTGTTCGGTGATACGTTTGGAAACCGAACGCTGGGTACGGCCGACATACCTGGATCCACACGGGCAGGTGAATCGGTAGATACACATTGATGAGGCCAGCCAGAAAAGTACGTATTCAACCTCTCAAATATCATTGTCTACTATTCAACTAGAGGTACTATCTCTAGGCCCAAAATTCTGCGTAAAACCACTAAGTATTCACAAGCTACAATGCCAGGTTCAGTTCAAAAATCTGATAAACCAAACTTACGATCTCACACCTGCATCAGATGAAAGCCTGCAACAATTCAATGCATCAATCCTCGACTGTTGTCACAAGCTCATAAATACTAAACACAACGGAAGGTCCATTTTAACAGAGGCATTATAAGGAGCTGAAAGAACTTATGAAAAACGAACAGATTATGGTATTACGTCCTGATAAAGGCGGGGGAATCGCAATCATGAATCGCGAGGAATATATCAGTAAAATGCTGACCATACTATCCGATAAATGCAAGTTCACAAAACCGATCAATGAGAAAAATATGACTGAACAGACCGAACAAAAGCTAACGGACAGCCTTCGTAAACTAAACACTGAATCTTTCATCAGCAACGGAAGGTTCGAATCCCTAAAACCATCTGGCTCAAATATACCACGACTTTACAGACTCCCGAAAGTACACAAGAAGGGTACCCCTCTTCGATCGATCCTCAACATGACCAATTCGCCTTATCACCGGACAGCCCAATGGTTAGCAGATCTACTAGAACCAATCAGAAGACAAGTTTCCTGCCACACAGTTCGAGATTTACTCGACTTTATCGACTCAGTCGAAAACGTCAATGTACTCAGCAAGACTATGATTTCATTAGACGTCATGTCATTGTTCACTAACGTCCCACTGACTGAAATAATATGCTAAATATGAGAACTTATTCACTCAAAGGGAATAAACATCGGTATACGCACCGAGCGTCTTAAAGAACTCATACTGAGATGTACTTTGAATGTTCAATTCAATTAACAACGAAATATATCGCCAAAAGGATGGTATAGCTATGGGCTCACCACTAGGCCCATTGCTTGCAGATTTCTTCATGGCTAAACTCGAAACACATGCCTAAAGAAAATGATCGATACCTTCGAATTCTACACGAGATACGTCGACGACACTTTCATTATCGTCAACAATGAAGAAAATCTAGACGACATCTTAAATTCTTTCAACAACTGCCACCCCGCGATTCAGTTTACGTTAGAGAAAGTCTAACTCCAAAATATCCTTTCTCGATGTTCAACTAACAAGACGACAACAAGACGGAACACTGAAAAGATCTACCTACAGAAAGTCGACTTGGAACGGACAGTTTACTAACTTTCACAGTTAGGTAGACCTTTATACATCTATACACCAAACCTGATCCGTTAATTCACCTACAGAGTTCGCACAATCTGCACCCCGGATACCATAGAAGACCAACTAGACGAGAATTGTTATCCAGTAAGATTTATTGCAAAATCCATGAATGCCAGATCGCAAAAGCCACCCATGCTTAGCGTCCCGAAAAAGATCTACACGAACCTTCAATTCAATGGAGATTCATCTGTGGAAACACTGAAAAACCTACTGTCCCATTCACTTAAGAAAACCTTCGTAGCTGAACTACGATTAACCTTCTCCACAAAACCTATGATTCGTATAGACGTGAAGGATAAGCTACCACTCCTGGCCTCATCAGTGTGTATCTACCAATTCACCTGCCCGTGTGGATCCAGGTATGTCGGCCGTACCCAGCGTTCGGTTTCCAAACGTATCACCGAACACTTACCAGCATGGTTTTACAAAGGAGAAAAACGATGCCCCCGCAGCTCTATCTTAGAACATCTGATAGATTCCGGACACCAAGCTACATCCCAAACAAAATTCAACGTCGTCTACAGAATACGAAGCAGTCTTCCTAGAAGTGTACGAATCAGACTTTTTCAAACTGCAGAAGCGATGGCGATTCACTTGCTAAGTCCTGAACTCTGCATACAGAAGAAGTTCGTTCAATCACTACACTTGCAATGAACGTAATCTATCTTAATACCTGGCAGGTAAATTCTACTTTTTTTCTTCTGTCTGTTCATTAGTATTATTTTGTCTTTTCAATTGTAACATTTTCAACCTTCCTGTTCTCTACCTCAACCCGATTTAATTTCTACACCTCATTACCACTGTTACTGACTTGACCAACGCTCAATTTCTTGTCATTTATGCTACGTCATCCAATTTATTTGCTCGATTTTAGTTCTAATTTAAATGGCATTATTCCCTACCCCACCTCTACTTAGTCTCTACCTGTAATTACCTCTGTTGCTATCCTGACCTAAATTGAAACATTTTAGTCAATTATATTACGTCATCTAACTCAATAACTCACTCTTACTTTAGTTGTTGTCTAATCAATCTTGTTTCTATATTTGATCATTCTTGTATTACCTGATTAATAACCTAATCTTGACAAACCTCGTGTACACACACAAACACAAAATAATTGTATAAATGCGATTGTACAGCTATTTGGGTGAATTCGCCGAAAAGTCTCTTCTCTGGACGTCTTCACTTTTGTTTACGTTAATGCTCCTCGTAATCTGTCATAAATACATACATATTAGGTGTAGGATAAATACAGTCAACGACGAAAGATTTTGATTATAGGCGATGAATTTAGTATATATATATATATATATATATATACTAAATTTTAAGGAGTTGTGCCAAAAATTTCTTCAAAACAATACATGGCCGATACATACAAAATTCCTGGAAAGGGGAAGTTGAAGTATTGATGACGGTAAATAAGATGGTATGGAAAGGAAACTAACTATACTGTGTTCAGTCAGAAGCGCTTTGTCGTCAACTAATGACTATAATATACTCGTGATCAATTTAAGAAATCTTAAGTCGTCTAACAGCATCGTTTCAAATACAGCGGACACAGATGAGGATGTCGAGACTAGACATGATTGGTAAGGAAAGCCAGACGGGTGCTGATTACTTTAAAGTCACTGTGCGTCGGTGGCACAGTGGTTAGGACTCTCGCCGACCATGCACATGGTCTGGGGTTCGATCCCCTGCCGGCGCACACCCGATATCTATGGTATGCCTGAATTTGGGCAACCGATATCCATGCTGAAAATTCCATACTTGTACTGAAAATACGGTGTGGAATCAAGCTGTAAATCAAAATAAAAAAATAAATAAAAATATCTAACAGTCAGCACAAAGAACAACACTCGAATTTTCAAGTACCACGTCAGTGCTTTAATGCTGTTTCAAAAAGTGACGAGCACTCCACTGAAAGCATTTATCAACACCTACCTTTACTCGATGAAACGGACGATTAGATGAGCGGAAACCGTAACCTACAGTGAGCTTTGGCAAAGAAATTGCTGAAAACCTAATGACCAAAAAATATGATGAAGGAAGTGGATATGAATTGGACATACCCTGGGAAGACCGTTGAGTGAAATTACACACCAGGTAGTCCGTCAAACAGTAGGAGAGATGTTTGTTTCCCGACAGTAACATGGATAAAACAATGTGAAAGAGAACAAAAAGACGTAGGTATTTGTTGAGACAGATGAAAGTGAGTGCAGAGAAGGGAGATGTCCTGCTGAAGCCCTACGTCCCAATGGGAATACAAGGAACGAATAGTAATAATACTTGATTAGGATTATTTATTTTCCAATAGAATTAGAATACCTGCGTTGCAACTAATTTTACTACGAAAATTCACTGACTACACAGAATGAGTTTCCAACTAACCAGAAACAACAACATTCACCACAGAGATTTCCAGTGACCATTTTTCTTGCATAAAATAAATATCTCTTTAATCGTAAATATTTTTTAATAAACTTGCAACTCAACCCCAAAATCTAAACTCTTAACATAATAATCAGAATACACATCTCCTTGGGAAGCACTAACTCCAGACACAGTTCAGGCATTTCGAAAACACGTCGGGCGCACTACAGGAGCTTTGAAAACTTCGGGAAGATTATTCCCACACTCACACGTGTGTTCGACGTTTTATGATGCACTTTTGCCCGATGTTTCACCAGTGCTCCCGACATTTCTGCTGTCCTTCACAGCTCTGAATGACGTCATTGGGAGTTCTTAAGCTAGCTTGACTTAAGTAAAACAGATAGTGGGCAAATTGAGGTTATGTTCCTAGGGAAATTCATCATGATGCAACATCACCCTAACCCCCAAAATTATCCCCTAATTACTCGACATAGAAGAACTCCTTCTCCTTGTGTTCCCAAAACAGATGAATATGAAAGACAGGCTAACAGTGAAGAGAAACTAGAGCGGTTACCAAATGAAATTAAACAATCTTCCTTATTATTTGAGGACGATATTAAGACATGGAAAACTGTAAATAGTAACGATAATAGGTTGGTACTACAAAACGATTTAGATAAATTATGTTAAT